TATATATATATATATATGATGTATGTATATATGTATATATTTGCCCCACTGATCCTGATGTTGGACTTGACCCTTTTGTTTCCCCTCAAAACTTAAACACAGCATTTGTATGTGTAGCACATTATGATGAAAATGTGAGATACTGGAAGAGTTTTGTCCTTAACCATCTTGTCTGGGAAATCTGTCAATGGTTACCCTTCTGTGCCATTTATCTCTTTACCTTGCGGCTTTCTCTCTGTCTTCCTCACTTCCTGGCAGCTTCTTCCTTCTCTCACATCCACAAGTGTCTACTCATTTCTTGTGCACAGCAGTTCAGATCTCTTTTATTGGCTTCTTTCCGGCCATGTCGTCAAGTTCATCTCAGATTCTGTTGGCAAACCACCAAGAGGCTGGTAGGTGTTTTTCCTGCAGAAAGATAATTCCCTGCTGAACAGGGGCTGAGGGAGGAAGCATCACCCACCTTGCAGTGTAACTGAGGTTTGATAACCCATCTCTCCATTGGAAGCCCCTTGTCTTTTCCCCTTCTCGAAGCTGGTTCCTTGTGACAGTGGCCGATCATATGTATAAAAACACTTCATACAATGTGAACCAGAGTAAGAGAGATGGTATTATTACCAACTTCACGGTAAGTTTAGTTACTGATGTTGTGTGGTGTCCTGTCTCCTCTTGCAATGTCCTATCCATTGGTCACCGGAATCTCTTTCCATTCACAGCTGCCCGAGCCGAAGTGTGTAGCGGCACCGGGGAGAGGTTCCGAATCTTCCGCGCGGAGAAAACCTATGCCGTCAAGGCAGGAAGGTGGTATTTTGAATTTGAGGCTGTCACTGCTGGAGACATGAGAGTCGGATGGAGCAGGCCAGGTTGTCAACCTGACCAAGAGCTGGGCTCAGACGAACGTGCCTTTGCTTTTGATGGCTTCAAGGTGAGCAGACATTGCTGAGCACCAGACACCGAAATTTGTAGGCTCCGGGTATTGTAGGCTGCTGTGTCCCAGGCATCTACATACTGTGTGTGTGTGTGTGTGTGTGTGTGTGTGTGTGAGAGAGAGAGAGAGAGAGAGAGAGAGAGAGAGAGAGAGAGAGAGAGATTGATTTCCGCTGCCATTCCTTTGGGTAGGGCAGTAAAATGAGGACTTTCTGGAGCACCCACTCAGGAGAAATAGGTCCCAAGAAAATTTTGTCCTTGTAATCTCAAAACATTTCCCCCACAGGGAAATTCAAGAAGTAACACATTGCTACCCAAAAAATGAATCATCCTTATCTATCAGAAGTGTTAAAATGCATATGCTACTTTGGAGCGCCTGGGTGGCTCAGTGGGATAAGCTTCTGACTCTAGATTTCAGCTCAGGTCGTCATCTCACAGTTCATGAGCTCCAGCCCCGTATCAGGCTCCGTGCTGATGGCTGGAGCCTGCTTGGGATTCTCTCTCTCCCTGTCGCTGCCCCTGCTTGCACTCGCTCTCCCTCTCTCCCCAAAATAAATAAACATTAAAAAAAAAAACTATTAAAAATGCATACACTTTGACTTAGCAATTCCATAGAAGAAATTTATCAATGATAGGTAAACACATTTAATAGCCACAAGAATGCTAGAGACTGTTGTTTATAATGACAAAAAGTTTTCATTTTCAGCATTATTAGTAATATTTCTTAAGGTGGATGGAAGCTGGTCAGGTGCTTATTTTATTATTTACTTACACATTATATAAATGTTTAAAGATTATTTTATGTACATAAATTATTTAAAAATAAAAAAAATAATATGTATATGAACCTAGCCACAATAGAATGGTAGTCATTTTTTGATTGATAAAATTATAGAAATTTTAGTCTTTTCTATTCTGTGATTTTCTTCCATGAATTTACATTCCTTTCATATGAAGGGGAAAAGTTATTTTTAATTAAAAGGAAAGTTAGAGTAAATAAGCAATCACGAGGAGATTTGACATTTGAGTACTGAGGTAGGCATGAGTGGGACAGCATTTCTAGGCTAGAAATTAATAATGTGTCTTCCAGGGGACAACAGACCCACTTTGTTGTGAAACACCACATTTCCTGAACCTGTTTTTTATTTCAGATAGAAAATCTAACACTTATTGAAAGCTAACACCTTCTGAAATAAAATTTTTTTTTTTTTTTTTTTTTTTTTTTTTTTTTT